AGTTCTAATCTAAACCACACTACCTACTGAAACATGGGAGTTACCCTGATATAATATGTGTAGTCCCGGTGTTATACATGGAAAACCCGAAGGGACAGCTCAGTGTTCTTAGAGAGAACTTGCTGGAGGAGGGGTGAGAATACTCTGAGGGTGGAAAGGAGGAAATCAGGGAGGTGTCAGAAGAAAAGAAAGGAAGGGAAGAGTGTATCCATTAGGGTCTTGGGAATCCCCCTGAAAGTGATACAGCAATCATCTCTAAAGAGAGTCCTTCCTCTGTTATTTCCTGAATCAGTGCCCCCCCCCACTGAGTTTCAAAGCATCTTCCACTGATCAGCATTAGCAGAGACATTTGACAGATCCACATCACAGAAGCAGTTTAATTACAGGGAGGCTCAGAGCAAGGCGCAGCAGTTCCACCCTCCTCTAATCAGACAGTCTGAGTAAAGAAAGCAAGACAGAGATGCATGCATTTAGGGCTAAAAATAGGCTCAAGCATCACTGGGCTAGCACTGCCAGGCCACTTCCTGGGTGGACTTTCCTCTTCTTTTATAGTCTGCTTGGGCACACACTACACCCTGCTGCCTCTTCCAATTTCCAGGAGTAAAAAAGAGCACGTGCTAGGTTGCCTGGGCAGCTACTGCTAACTGTGTACTTTGGCCAGGTTACTTAACAGCCCTCAGCCACAAAATGGGGAGAACAAGAGCTGAGGGTGTGGCTCGATGGGACACCACGTGCTTAGCTTGTGTGAGGTCCTAGGTTCAATCCCCAGCACCCAAAATCAATTAATTAAATTAGGTGAGGAGAACAATAATGCTCACTGCAGAGCATAATTGTGAGAACTAACTGAATGAATACATGTGCACTGCTTGGCAGGTAACAAACACTTGGCAAAGGTTGATGGTTACTTTCTCATTATAATTAAAGAACCATTATGGGTGACTGGTTTGGGAATGAATATGTGTCCTAGCTTAAATACATACACACATGCATGCATACATACATATATACATACATACCTTAATTAATTAGATTCCAAGACAAGGTTTGGCAAACGTTTTCTATAAACAGCCAGATAGTAAATAGTTTAGACTTTCCAGGCCATGTGATCTCTGATGCAACTACTCAACTTACAAATGGTAAGCATGGCTGTGTTCCAATAAAGCTTTGTTTACAAAAAAAAAAGAAAAAACAGGCAGTGGCCACATTCGGCCCATGGCTATAGTTTACCAATCTAGGCTATCAGCTCCATGAGAGAGGGACCCCAACATGTTCCCTATACAGTCGGTGCTCACATTATGTTTATTTGTAAGTGAATGAAAACTCAACAGGGACTGTTCATTCCTTTAAACCTTGGACTTTGGCACCCCACTCAGACTGTGAAATGCATAACTCCAAGTTCTGCCAACAGATGTGACCAAAGAGCTCCTGGGAAGGGTACACCATGTCCATCCAAGACTTCAGAGTCTCTGGGAAAGTAAATACACATTATGTGCAAAAGAAAACAAAAGCTAAAGACTACAAACAGTGACAAAACTGACATGTGTGCAACTTTATCTGATTGATCGTCCTTATGGGCTCAGACCTACTGAAAGCAGTCAGGCATCTCTGACGCCTGTTGAGGAGCTGAGGCACTGGGATCTTAAGCTGCATTGTTCCCAGGCTCTTGGGAGAAGCCATTCAGCACCTGGTGAAGTCGAACAGGTACCTGGCCCTGTGAGCTGAAGCAAGTAACCTTCCTCTTTCAGCTTGTGTTCCTTCTCTGCAAAATGGAAAAAGTATTACCACTGACCTCCATGGTTGCTGTGAGGACAAACCAGGATAGTGCTGAGCACTTGGCCCCTATCTACAGGCCTTCAACAAAAGTCAGCTTGATTGCCAATTGTAGTACTTCTAGGAGGCTGAGGCAGACGGACTGCAAGTTCAAGCTCAGTCTGGACAACGTAATGAATTAGTGCGTTCCTGTCACAAAATTTTAAAAATAAATAAAAATGGTCTTCATGGCTTAGTGCAAAGACCCTGAGTTCAGCTGCTAGTACTGTGAAGAGAGAGAGAGAGAGAGAGAGAGAGAGAGAGAGAGAGAGAGATTGTCTTTAGCTTTTTAGCTTTATTCTTTCTGGAATGGTGTTTTGTAAATGGGCACTTAAACAAGTCGTCTAAGGGTCAATGCTGCCACCATACTGTAGAATGAAGGAGCTGGAAATGCAGCGCTTCCTGCTGCCTCCCACCTTTATGTCACTTCCTTCTTCCTCTTTCTCGGCTCCTACCTGGTGGTTTCCATGCCTGCAGGAGGCAGCAGTGCTCTGAATGCTGAGGAACAGGGGAATCTTCTGGAGGCTAGACAATATGTCCCCACCTCTCCACCCAAGAGGGTGAGCAGCAGTTATGACTGAGAGAAGATGCAGCCTTTTCACATGAGCTGCTCGGGGAAGGTCAAGTCCTGCTTCAGAGGAGCAGCTGCCCGGGCATGATCCAATCTGAGCTCCTCACTTTGCCTCACTTTCCTCATTTCAGACCAGAAAATAATCATGCTAGAGAGTGGAGGGTATACTTTAAATGAGAGTTAAAACACTTGGCAAAAAATAAAACATGATTTATGTAGGGTGGCATCATTTAATAGGAACGATTATACAGAATGCAGGGTAACAGTAACAGTCACCATAGGTCTAAAATAGTTTTAGGAACAGCTCTACCCAGAGGCTAAATGACCTCAAAGTACCTTCTCACTCTCTGATCTCCATGGCTACCATACACTCTCATCAATTTCAGAATAATAGAGCAGGAAAGTTAGTCTTTATTATGATCAGCCCACCATATCCAGCCCTTTTAGGTATAAAGAGTAAATGGACCTAAGATGACCCAATGCTTCTGTGAGATGTTTGCTTAGAAACAGATAAAAATGATTTGTTGTTGCATGCACCTGAGTAGGTGCTGATAGAGAGCCCCAGGGTACTTGAAAACTGTGTATTCTCTCAATTAATGTACACTTTTATCTGCAGTCTCTGGTCCCCAATCTTGAGGGGGTGGTATTTTGTTTTTAACTAGATATACAAAGAAGCTAGGGTTTCTTTTAATTTGCTAAACAAAACATATCTTCATATGTAGTACAAATGTAAACCTCAGTCCCTTCTAAATCACAATTTCTATTTCAATGTATGCAGTCTTTTCAATATATGCAATCTGCATTTCTGGGTTTTGTTTTTTTTATTGGTACCAGGGATTGAACTCGGGACCTTGTGCTTGCAAGGCAGGCAGTGGAACCACTGAGCTAAATCCCCGGCCCCACAATCTGCATTTCTAAGGGTTGGGGCCCCCAAACTGCAACATCTACAAAGATGCTGAGGCCCCAGGTTGTGACCTTTCAGGGAGCTAGGTTTGGAAGCACACAGCAACCTCTTACATATTACACCTTCACCCTGACCACAGTGCAGTGAATACCCGTAATCCAACTGGCCAAGAGGAAAAGCAAATAAAGCCAAGTGACCTACTAGCTTGTCTATGGATCCAGGCCCATGGGGGCATTAGTCAAGGTCCAGAACTTTTGTTCCTACGTTGACAGCCAGTGAGGGAGAGCACGTAGTTTGTAGGATCAATTGGGGTTACCCCATTGTGACTCTTGTGTTGACTGGACGAGGGTTTGCAGAGAACAAGGGCCAGCTCAGGGCACAGGTACAAACTGCACTATGGAATGCTCCCTGTCCCAGGGGTGTGTGCTGGACAAGAAGGGACACAGAGCTGCATGATCTAGGCTCCACCAACCGTGTGCTCGCTGTCATCATTCTGTGGCCCTAGCTCCAAGCTCAGGACCTGGCCCATAGACCCCTCAGTGACATGAGTGAAGAAATGAGTGAATGAATGAATATTTGAGTCTTTACCGAACAGCTGGAAGTTCCCAAGCTACACAAGGGTGTGTGTTAAAAAGTTCGGAGCAAAGGACCTTTACGTGCTACAGCAGAGGAAGTAGAAAGTTTGTGTTCTGTGTGAAATTACTTTCCCAGAAGCCCAGGTTCCAAACATCCAATGACACCCCTTTGTTCAAAGGCCAGCCCACCTGGCATCTTAGGAGACATCATCTTGGGACTGCAAATGATCATTTTTCAAGTTGATGCTACACTCGGGGTGACTCAGGTTTGCTGGAAGCCACCCACTTCTTAAGATCAGCCAAACACGAGCTTGGATCCCACAGGTGGCACTTTGAGAGCAGAAGCTCTTGGGTACCTGGTGGAGCTTGAGAAGGGTTTTTAAATTCATATTAACTAGTAAAAGAAGCGGCAAGCCAGTGGAGGCAGGCTTGGGGGTATGGATGATCAGTGTTGGCTTATTAATAACACCATAGCTCTCCAAAGGCCCTAACTTAAGTCTGAGATTTGGGAAGAGGAGAATTTTCCTGTGAAAATCTAAAGCACACAAAATTGTCCTGCATCCTGAGGCGCCTTGGAAGAAATAAGGTCACAGGGCCTTCCAGAGCGCCAGGATGCTTATATTCAGTGAATTTTTTTCTCTCCTATTAAATGTGCCATCTGGAAGCAAGCTCACCATCTGGAAGGACGTTAACTGGGTTCCAGATGGATCTCCCTTTGATCCAATCGATACGGACAGGAGAACACCAAGAACAAACTCTATCCCAGATTCCAAGTTGGCTGCTAGAGCACAGATATTTCCGAACACAGGCTAAAACCAAGCGTTGCACGAATCGGTTAGGAGTAGGCTCTTCGCTAAGAAAGAATAGACTATGAGAAGGAGAAAATCCCACAGAGAAGGGCCCAGTGGGAAACTACAGAATATGAGGGGACCCAAAGGACTTCCAACCGTACAGGTTACTGCTTGGGAGGACCATGTCATCACCGCAGGCTTTACTTTGTTTTAACAAAAAGGTCACTGTCTGTTTTCATTGTCTGGCACCTCTGAGAAGAGTAGCAGAAAAAAGTTAAAGAATAACTCAACTTTTTCACCCTGTGCCTGTGCCAAGCTGTTACGCACACAGTGCCACAGAGACAGAGGAAACAAAGTCAAGCGCAAAGATGGCTGACGTGTCTCCACAGCAACCTCAGCGGCTCCAGCGCTGAGATTTGAGGACTGGGATCGGTTTGCGGTAACCTCTTCCTGACTTTCTTTTTGCCTGGTCTATTAATTGCAGCGCTTCTGTGCGCTCCAAAAGGGGTAAACTAGTTGTCCTCCCAATTTAACCAAATTGTAAATAAACTATTTTTCCCCCATTTTTATGGGGTGGGTTTTCTCATATTTTGGGGTGTGGAGCAGTCAAAACAAACCCGAAACTCAGAGAACCGGAGCCCAGAATCAGGCCTGACCAAACTGTAGCTGGTAACATTACCAGACACTAGGAAGGCAAAGGAAGACTTGGAAAATATGAACAGAAATGCTATTTTTCCACCTGTATAAGAAAACAGTCATCCCTCCATGCATGAGGGGGACCAGTTCAGGAGTCCTATAGGTCCCCAAATCCATGGATGTTCAGGTCCCTTATGTAAAATGTCATCATATTTGCATATAATCTATGCAACCCTCCTGTGTACTTTACATCATCCCTCCATTATAATACCTAATGTAACATAAATGCTATATAAACGGGCATTACACAGCACTGCATTGTATCAGGAATAATGAGAAGAAAAAAGACTGTACATTTTCATTATGGTTGTAAAGTTTTTTTGAGGACATTTTATCCATGGTTAGTTGAATTTGTGGATGTGGACCTGCAGATACAAAGAACCTACTGTACTAATGGCTGTTGCAAAAGCAGCCAGTACAATACTTGGCACCTGGTACATGTTCAATAAACTGGAGAGTTGTTGGTTTCTTACAAATGCTTAAAATACCTTCCTCTCACAATATACAAAGCACCTTTGTAACATTAGTGTATTTATGGGTCAGAAGAACTTTGTGAGATGTGAGAGAAATATTTCTCAATACTGTTTTGCTCATGATAAAAATGTCTGGAGAATTTTAATGAATTATCCATGGTCTTATATCTAAAGAAATGGAGATCTTGGACTTGAAAGTGATATGGTTGGTTTCTAGCTTCAGGGACTTTTTGCTGTTCCAACTGCCTCATCTTTTTTTTTTTTTTTTTGGTACCAGGGATCAAACTCAGGTCCTTGTGCTTGCGCAGCAGGCAGCAAAACCACTGAGCTAAATCCCCAGCCCTGCCTTATCTTCTTTACAACTTGAATACTTTCCTTTTTTCCTTGAATGCACTATAATTCTGCCTCTATATGCCTAAAAGGTAGTACAAATACAAGACTTTGTAGTCATCTTTCAAGGATGTCTCATTTCAGATATGTAAAATATATGTATTTACATAAATTGTACAGAGAGAGAGTTGTATTTATAATTGTATATATAATTATACTGAGTAAGCCCCTTTTGATTATTTGGAGATGAGGTTATCTGTGTGTGAACAGAATGTTTCTACTCTGAGCTAAAATATTGATGGAGTAGGAGGCACTTAACCCTGATATTCAAAAAGGGAATCTTTGCTATAATTCTAGCCTACATACTAAAATTTAGTATACTACACATTTGGCCAAGTACATATAAAATAAAAATACTCATAGCTAAATAGATAATGGTGACACATAGTCTAAATTAGAAAATGATAAAAGAGAATTCCCCACCCAACAAAGGTATTCTTTTCATGTTTTATGATTACCAATGTTAGGTTATATGGTTCTCATTTGTACTTGTAATTCCACTAAAGGCTTCTGTAAATTCTCCTTATAAAGCCTTATTTATGCAAGAGCTAAAAACTAAAAAGTGAACCTTGGAAAGGGAGAATTTTTTTGTGGTTAGTCATAGACTCATTTTTCTTCAAAAGATGGTCCCTTTTCCGGTCCAGTATAGCAACTGGAACACAATGGGATGCTTCATCCACAGGTATTTATTCTGTCTAATAAAAACATTGTGGAATTTGCATCACATTTCCAGACTCAGAAGGTTTCCATTCATTTATTTATTCACTCATTCATTCATTCACTGTATCTTTGCAAGACAGTATTTTTTTAAAAACCAGAAAACGACACCAAGGAATCTCTCATTGGAATCACTTTGTCTAGTGTTGTTGGTACGTGTGCTGAGCTACAAACCTGCCCAGTCTTTCTTGGCATGTGACACACCACAGGCTCTTTTGCAAAGTCGAGAGACTCAGAGATCTGTGTTTCCTGGTGGGAAAAATATGATGTGGCTCCCATAGTTTTTCCTTTCTTGAGAGTAGGGGTTTAATTAGTGATGCTGGAAAACCAAGCTAAACGCAGATACTACTGCAATAGGGAGTGGCAGAAAGGACCACCCTGGGGTTGCAGGCCTTAGGCCAATAGGAATTCTGGAGAAAACTGGTGCCATTTACCCAGATCCCTCGGGGACTCCTGCGGCCAGTCTTCTCACTGTGGGGTGTTTGTGCTTCCCCTTCTCTTGTGAGTTAAAATTGGTGACCAGGGCTTCTTGGCCTTTTCACTGTCACAACAAATTATAGATGATATTCATATAAGGACTAGGGGGAGACTATGGATGCAGCCCTTAGCGACAAGTTCAAAGAACTCCTCCATCCTGCGCTCCATTCACAATGGCTAAGGGCATTTGCTTCTTTGGGGCTCTGGTAACCCATTCACCATATGCTGAAAAGCAACTTCAAATTTGGATCCCAAGAATGGAGGGAGAGAGAAAGCAGCTGAATATATAAATTTCTAATTAAAATTCAAGTTAGTATTGGCAACAAATCTCCTTTATTGTTATTCTGAATAATTCCTTTCAAGTCACAATACTAATCTAGGGTTGAAATTAGAGAAAGAGGTCACAACACTGTCCACCAGCTACCCAATGATGGCAGTATCCTGTGGTAATAGAGTCATTTTGAAGTCTGAGCTTCAATTTCACATGCCTGGACATTTGGGTTTTTTCCAGTGTACCAGATTCAGAAGGTCTAGTTGACATTACCCAACCTCATAAGAAACTGATGCACAAACCATAATGTCATTAATAGTCTGTAATAAGAGTGCGTTCTTTCTTCTGGCTGAAAACCTAGAGCTTGTCATCTAGCGCACCCTCTCACAATGTCAGAAAAGCCAATTTGGATTAAAAGGTTCTTGGGGAACAGAGAATCAAAACCAAGAGAGGTGGCTGGATTGCTTTTAAATATTTTATCCAGGCTATGTTAAAGCCCAGGGAATGAACTCCTCTTGCCATATCACAGAGTCAACCTCTCTAGTGATCCCTCTGTGCATGAATCCCAGACCTACTGTCCCCTGCTTTGGATAATGCTTGATAAACACAAATACCTTCTAATTTCCATTTTTAAAAGCATCTCCCATAGTACAATGTGATTGATAAGCTTATTAAAAATCACATTCTGGTCACAAGTCTGAAATGACATCCAAGACGCTTCCAGACTCTCAGGTGCCTCTTATAGTTGTCTTCATCAATTATATATGCATTCTCAGTGTGGTCAGGCTGATAGTTCAAGTTCAGGGTATTCTTTTCTTCCCTATATCTTACAAGACTCTTCTCCTAATGGGTGGTAAAACAGGGTGATAAGATCTATTTTTCACCTCAACATGTGTGGGCCAGTGTATTCTAACAAAAGTTGCAGAAGTTAACAGCAACAACAACAACAAAACAAAAGATTCCTTATTTCAGCTTCCTGGGGAAAAAAAGGCTAATTTAAATGAGCAGAGTCTTAATCACAGCTTTTGGTTTTTAAAGCTCTGATTTAATGAAAAGTGTTCTTAATTGAAATGAGATCTCTCTACTCTATTTTCCTAATCCATTCTCTTTGGCCAAGACCATTAACCTCTCTAGGTCTCAGTTTCCTCATCTGTAAAATGAAAGAATTGAGCCAACCTGCCTCTGGGGACCCTTCCAGCTCAGTATTTGCTTTATTTAATTTGTCTATCTAGAGCCCTCAGTGAAAAATGCCATTTGCAGGCAAGTACAAGGGACCTCGTAGCAGGTAGATGGCCCGGCCCCAATAAAACACATTTTTCAGTCACCAGAACTGCCAGAAGTACAATATGACAATTGTGAACAACAGTAATAGCAGCAAACATTAAATTCCAAAATTAGATCAGTGATTACTTTCAAGAATATGCAGCATCTCAAATTGGGCTTGAATGAATGTCAAGTATTGAAAAGCACTCACTGAGTGCACACTGTTTACCTGGGTTTGGAGGGGGAAGGGGACGTGTCAATGTGAGAAAATCTGTACGGAGGGCTCAGGCCTGGCAGGATACTTAGACAGAGGGACAGTTGCTTTGTAGCTGGTCATAAATGGGTATCTATGTGACTCTGCCTAGAAAGGAAAAATATCTTCCCAGAGGAAGTGACGTCATCAGAGCCAGGCCTTGAAAGATGAAGTAGAGAAAGTTTGTGGGGCTGGAGTATGAGGCAGGGTGGTCCAAGGGGCAGGGGACAGAGAGGAGGATGAGTTGGGAAGAAGATGCCTCAAAACAAGATTTGAAAATGTGAACAGGAATGTGAATGGGCCTTGAAAGATACTTAAAAGTATTTGGTGTTCATCTTTAAACTGCTGAGTTCTGTGATCAGATTAGTATTTTCGTAGAGGCCAAAATGTCATGGGGAGAGCTTTTAACAGAGAAAGTTTACTGTCTGGAAGAACAGCCTGGAAACCATGACAATGGGCCAGGCACCAGCTGATCTAGTGCTGGGCTAGGAAGGTAGCAAGAGGGATAGGCTTGGGAACATTTCTGAGAAAGGAAAACCTATAGGAACTTGTAGATGAGGGAACTAACTAGATAAGGGAGATGACAGGGAAAGTGCCATGAAAAAAAGACAGAAGTTTTTAGTGAGAACCAGTAGGATCCAACAGACAGCAGTCTCCTTATAGATACTGGTAACCAAAATGCAATGTTCTCAAAGCATGAGTGAACTTCAATTTGGCCTTATCTTGGCCCAATAAACAAAAGCTACATAGAAAGGATTTTTCGTATCTATAATATAGACTTTACATGGCCATGAGAAATTAATAACACAAAGAGATTAATTAGACGCAAAGAAACCATGAGTTTTTGAGAAAAGGTGGCTTTAAGAATTTGATATTATTATTTGTTTAGGATTTTGTTTGTTTTGTATTATTTTACCTTAGTTTTTTTTCTTTTTGCATGTTTTTTTGGTTGTATATGACATTGCTACTAACCTTAGGATAGAAAGTGATGAAACAGTAACACAACAGAATTTGACTTTGATCTCTGCTTCAATATTCCAAATATATAAAAGGACCAGCCTTTCCCCACCACAGTATCCATAGGTCCAGGCAGAAAGCATGACTCTCAGACCTCTGATATCTTTTGCCTAACAAATTTTCAGGACTGAGTTTTTCTATAAGTAGAAGACAGGACATATGGTATTGCTATTATCTTTGTATCACGAAGTGAGAAGTAATCAACACTGGCAAGCCAGCTGTATACACTAACATTGTCCCACCCTCCAGGAAAATTACTACAGAACAAGTCCATTGCAGCAATTTAAAAATATTTCATATTTTAATATGCAAACAAGATGCAAAATAACATTTTAAAAAATAATTTTGCAATTTAATGAAATAAATGCTTAGATAAGTATTTGTTCCGTATGTTTTCTTAATATTTATTATCCACCTTAATCCTCAGAATAACGAAAGAATAAGTGGTCTTATTCTCCTTACATAACAAGCAAGAAGAAAGAGATATATAAAGGTTAAAAAGATTTTTCCAAGTTCATAGAGCTAGTTAATGGTAGGACTAGGGTTTAAGTCAGATAGTTAACTCCAGAGTTATGACCTTAACCTCTCTGCTATGCTACCTACAACTAAATAAGCAAAATAAATAACTATATGCTCCTATGACCAAAAAGTTTTCAATATTTACAATTAATGAGCAATTATGTGTAAAAAATTTTGCTGGCATGGAGAAATATATAACATGTTGTTTTGTGGGCAAAGTTATAGAAAAGTATGTACAACATAATGTAATTCTATTAAAATTAGATACATTATTTATATTTATATGTCATATGTTTTATAGCCTAAAAAGCATATATACCCACAGTTTAACAGCAATTTATTTCAGGGTAGTGGAATATTGTGGTTTTGTTTTCAACATAATATTTTTCTATATTTTTCAGATTCTCTATAACAAATTTAAAAAGTGCTATCTGAACTTCCAGTTTCTAGCTTGACCTGTGAAGAATCTGAAAGTCATCACTCCCTGACTTCACAAGAGAAAAGGTGAACACACTGAAAATCAGGCTCTAGATTCTGTTTAAGGAGTCTCTAAGAAAACTGAAGATAACAGAGGGGACAAAAATGAAGAAACCAGAAGAAACCTTCACCCTTTATACCACAGGGTCAGCAGATGGTAGACAGAACCTGGTTCCTGGCTAGATAAACATAAAACCTCATGTAAAAGACCTAGCTGCCTCAGTTCTTTGCACTCAATACATCATGCCCAGGTTTCAACAAAAATTATAAGGCACTGTAAAAAGCCATAAAACTCAGTGTGAAGAGACAAGGCAAGCATTAGAGCCAGACTCAGAGACAAGAAGGATTTGAAAATTATCAGACCAGGAATTTAAAAATGGTTCTGATTAATAGGCTAAGGGCTCACATGGAAAAAGTAGATAATGTGAATATATGGATAATGTAAGCAGAGAAAGACTCCAAAGGAAATACTAGAAATGAAAACCACTGTCACAGAAATGAAGGATGGTTTTGATGGGCTCACGAGTCAACTGGATGCAGCTAGGGAAAGGGTCAGCCAGCTTAAGATACGTTAGTAAAAACTTCTGAGCAAAAACACAGAAAGAGAGAATGAAAAAGACAGAATAGACATCTGAGAGCTCTAGACAAATCACAAAATTCATAATACACATATTATGTAATGGGAATGCCAACAATAAAAAGGAGTAGAAAAAGTATTTGAAGCAATAATGACTGAGAATGTGCCAAAATTAATAATAGACACTGTCTTAGTTACTTTTCTTGTTGCTGAGACAAAATATCTAATACCCAAAGTTAAAGGAGGAAAAGTTTATTGTAGCTCACAGTTTATAGAGGTTTCAGCTCATAGTTGCCTAGCTCCAAGACAAGGTGGTGTGGCAGAGGGGCATTGCAGAGGAGAAACAGTTCATGGCAGGCAGAAGGCAGTAAAGCAGAGAAGTAGGGAAGCAGCAGCAGTAGGCAGGCCTTTTTTTTTGTCACTTTATATCCATCCAGGCTGCCCGCCTTTTGGGTGGTGTCACCCACACCCAGGGTGGGTCTTCCCATTGTCCATACCTAAAACTATGCCAGTGGACTAATTAAGTAATCACACTTTTTTGGGGGGCGGGTACCAGGGATCGAACTCGGGTCCTTGAGCTTGCACAGCAGACAGTGAAACCACTGAGCTAAATCCCTGGCCCTAATGACACATTTTTAATCCTAGCATCACACACTTAATTCCAGCATCATATTCCTTAGATCCAGCTACCTCTGAAAAGCCCCACGTGTGATCACATGAGGCTTTGGGGGAACATTGAGACAGAAGTCATTACAGACATCAAATAACAGATCCAAATGACAAAAATTAGGGAAATTTTTCATAAAGAGACCTGCCTTGCCAGAAATGTTTAAGGAGTTTTTCAGAAAGAATGAAAAGGATAGAAGTGAGAAACTTAGATCTACATGAAGAAAAAAGTGTTACAGAAGGAAGGAAGGAAGGCAGGCAGGCAGGCAGGCAGCAAGCTGGACCCCATACTTACATCAAAGATGCAAGTCACCGCAAACACCACTGTTACCACCAGAGTCAAGCTCTGGGAAGGCACACTGTGCCACTGGAACTGCCCTGGCTGAAGAAGAACTCAGGTGCATCCAGGTACAGTAACAAATGCACACCTGTAATCCTAGCACTTTGGAAAGTAGAGTCAGGAAGATCACAAGTTTGATCCAGACTGGGTAATCTAATGAGACCCTGTCTCAAAATAAAAAATAAGAAGAGCTGAGATACTGGTCAGTGTGAAGGCCCTGTGCTCAATCCCCCAGTACAAAAACAAAACAAAACAAAAACAAAACCCAGGCTTTCAGAAGAGCCTACAGATGCAAGAAACTAAACATGGCTTCTCTTGTGTTCAATCTCTTATTAGCTTCTCCTAGATAATCAGAATAGTCTACCTTTCAGGCTTCTCAGCACCACTCTACCCAATTTACAGGTCCACACAGCAGGCTTTGCAATATCATGCATCTGCCTCCAGGCATGCAGATATTCTAATCAAGATGAAGACAGAGGCCCCTGGCCCTCTTCCCTAAAAGAGAAAGCACAAAACCAATCCTATCTGTCACCATATCCACTTCTAGGAGGCATTAATTCTGTGCTTAGTTCAGCCACAATCCTATCTGAATGATCTATAATCCAAAGAATAAATTATGATGTTAACAGTCAAACAAACAAAACAGACTGATCTGTAGCTGACTGAGGGATGGGGCGTGGAGGTGGAGCTCAACTACTACATTCTTTATCAATTCCTTCTTCAAATATGCACTTAGTTTTTAGGTGAGTACTTAGTCATTGTGGTGTTTGGAAATTTAGATGAAAATATTCAAGTGGGTTTTAAGAATATTCAGTTCTCTTGATTTTTGTTTTTCTTTTTCTTTTTGACCCATCTAATTCTTAAGTATTTCAGGAGCCAGCAGGACATAAATGAAACAAGAAAATTAGGATAACTTGAGGAGCAGAGGAAGGAAAAAAGAGCAGAATCCTGGAACCAGTTACAGCACAGCCATTCCCACCCCTGAGACCAGAGGGACAGATGACAATTAGAAAGGAAAATAAATAGTAAAACAAATATTTCGATCTTCCCAGTGGTAGAATGGTGGGTGCCAGGTGCAGGCAATAGAGCAAGATACACTCTCTTCCCTTCCCATCGGACTTTGAAGGCAGATGGAACACAGATACACTCAACAAATGACTACACACAGAAATATCACAGTGGCTCCATTTCCTGAATGAAAAACAGCAGAGTCCATGAGAGATTCTAGCGGGTGGAGGACCTGGTTCTGGCCATCAAGGAAGGAGATGCTGGGAAAGCGATGTTTGGCTGAAGTTCACTGCACATGGAGGAGTTTCCAGGGCAGGAGGGACGTGAGTGAGATGGACCAGACCACGCATGTGGAGACCTTGACCTTTGCAAGGACGTGAAAATTCCTCTGTTGGGGAAGCGCAGAGGGGCGGAGGCTCTGGAGAGAGAGAGAGAGAGAGAGAGAGAGAGAGAGAGAGAGAGAGAGGAGGACCTGGGCTGGGAAATGAGGAGGGCCCGAATCCTGCCTGGGAACCTGAAGCCTCAGGGTTGGAGATTTGGAACTCAGACAAAAACAGAAAAATCACAACAGGATTTTAATGGAGATGCCAGGATGTGTCTGCATTTTTGATAAAAGATCCTTAAAGACAAGGGCTGATTTTGCTTATTTTCTAATCCTGCCTGATACCTTACACCCAATTGGTGTTTGGCATATTTGTTATTCTGTGAGAAAGGTATTTTAGAAGTTGTGTTTAATAGTAGAAACTGAGGCAGAGGGTGTGAGATTATATTAGAGATGAAGCAATGGCTGCTTTTGGTCCAGAAATCTGTTTTCTCTGATTATCATATGTCAGGGTCACATAGAATATAAAAAGATGCAATTGTTTAAACCAACATAGCATCAGCATAAAGCACATTATTTGAGGTGTGCACTGGTTAAAACCATGAGCTAGGAAATAAGACAGCCTAAATTTGAATCTACTACAGTACTACTTATGAGCTGTATGTCTCCGGGCAAGTTACTCAGGCCTTTGGGCCTGCCTTTTATCTGTAAAAGGAGAGTATAATAATAGTACGTAATTCGTCTCTTTGTTATGAAGATTAAATAAGTACATGAAAAGCATGTCAACGGCTGCCTGGCACAGTTAAATGCTCAGTAAATGTCACTTATTATTTAATTGCACACAAATTTCATGGTGCATATAAAAAGTTTCTTTCCCTGAGTTTAAAATAATTTGCTCTTTAAAGCATCCCTCTTCCTAGATTCCTAATAGTGGCTGCTGTTTGTTCTCATAATAATTATATAATGGCAACATGACTTTTGCAGAAATGTTTAATGCAATAGTTTTTGGTTAGGCTTATTACACCAAGTAGTAAGAATTTGTCTCCCTAATATTAAATTGTTTCCTGGTACATTCTGGGTAGTGCCATTTAGGAAATGTTTAAAGCTAATAACTCATAAACCCATGGTGTGATTTTCCTTGATTTCCAGATCCTTAGAGGCGTTATGGAACAAATATGGAGTTCATAAACAGGCTTTTTTTTTTCTTCTTGTCCATTTCTTGCAACTCCTCCCCCATTCTCCCTCATGTGTTTATAAGTGAAAATGGACAATCACGTGTGAACATTCACACAAATGTATCATTTGAAGCTTACAGAGGTTAAAACTTATTCCTTCGCTCAGTAGACAAGATATTCATTCTTTTTCTCCTGGCTGCAAAACCAGATCCTGATCTCTAGTTTCATAAATCATTCTCCAACTGGCCCATGATACACAAAAATCAAAGGAAAAGTTAGCACTGAACCGGTTACAGATTAGAAATCAGGCCCATTGTTTCTTCTATAATATATATCCCAAAGGGCAGGTGGCTGTGCCTGGGTGAGCACTCCCCTAGTTGTTGACAGAATTATTTTTAGAAAGCAATGCTTTCCCATTTATAAAACCCAGAGAGAGAGAGGAGAGAGAGAGAGAGGCAGCTTGACGTGTAGGCGGTAGTGTCAGTCCTGGGGGCTGATGAAAATCACCTGTGGCCCCTTGCAAACTGAAAATGCCATGACCTCACGCGGGATCAATGCTTTTCAGCCTGGGCTGCACGTGGGAATCACCTGGGGAGTTTTTGGAAAAAAAAAAAACAAGGATGCCAGTCAAGAAGACCCCAAGCCAATTGCTCAGAACCTCTGTAGGCAGGGCCCAGACAGAGGCATTGCTTAATTACCTGCCTGCGTGATTCTAGTATCTAGTCAGGCCTGAGACTCACTGCTGTAGACAGACTGAATTCACTTATTCATTTTATGGATAATATTTACTGACAGGCAGCTAGGCGAGGCTTTGCCCACAATGCCACAGCTAATGTAATAAACACCTCCTGCTCTCTTGAGCTTAGAAATCTGGATCAAAATCTGCAGGGCCAAGACCTGGGCATTTGACATTTCAAAAGCTGATTAGCTGAGAATGAGAATCAGGGAGCAGTAGAAAGAACAGTGATCCGACAGCCCTGTTTAAATCTTGCTTCCTCTGCTGATTGGCTGTTTGGTTTGGGGAGAGTTATGTAACTGTTCTAACCCTGTTTCCTTATCTTTAAAATGGTGAAAAGCCAGTCTTCTAGAGCTGTTATGAGTTTTAAATGAAAAAAGAAAAATCAATAGAAATCTTGGTGCAGTAGCTCATATCTGCTAAGTATTCAATAAATGGTTGTTTCCCCCTCCCTCCACCTTTTATTTCTCCCGTTGTCCTTAAAGCAATAGGCTGGGCTAAGGACCTGTAATGTATAATTGAAGTATGTGCTTTCCAGGAGTTATGGGGTAATAAACAATTAGAGAGCAAATGCCTCGTGCAGCAACTATTCCTAAGTGTGTGGTATCGGCTACTTTTATTGCTGCAGGGTTTCTGGCTGGAGAGAATCACTGAGAATCAGGTGCCAGAGAAGGTTTCCTAAAGGGGAAGAATTTAAGAGGAGTCTTGCAAGATGAGTAGGTTTTGCCAGAAGAGGACAGAGAATATTAGGGGCTGAAAGAAACTGCCGAGAAAAGGTAACTTCAAAAATAATACCTGAAGATGGGTTATGTTTAAAGACAGTCTGTACTTTGCAAGCATTTATTTGACATGTGTCTGCGCACATCCTTGAACAAGAAAGTGGAGTTTCCTTTTTTATCAGAACGTCCATGAATAATAATGTGAGTTTTAAGAGTTTAAGAACAGGTAGGAGTTGCAGTATACGTTTTTAATGATGCTTGCATTTGTTTTATATGCATACCCCTCGCTGTGTTATTTAGGACAGTTCTTCGTGCACCTGCCTATTTATACTTGCATTCTCTTGGGAGTTGGGGAATGTACCAGCATCAGTGTGTCTTCTGAGGGAACCCCCGAGTGCCTTATAAATAACAATGAATTTTCTGAATACATAGAACAAAAAGCTGAATAAAGATGACATCACCCTCCTCAGAGTGGATTTTCATTCAGGTTATCGTTTAAGTCTTGTTGGACATTTGTCCAGAACAGTGAGTCTCCTGACCCATTGTGAGGCAAAGAGAGTGGATCTGGCAAAGTCTGTCTGTCTGTCTGTCGCTGTCTGTCTGTGCCTGCCCCACGGTAGCCATCTCTCACCAGGCAGCCCCTGTATTGTGTTCCCCCTACTGCCAGGTCTAGGCCTCCTCCCAGCCTCTGTTGACTTGCTGACAGCCTGTCCCTCCTCCCCTGAGATGACTTCCAACGACCTACTTTGAAAATGGTATGAACAGCCAAGGAGTAGGGCACAAATAGGCTTGCCTGCCAGGAGGGCTTCCTGCAGAAAAGACCAGCCTCTATCTGGGGTCCATGAAGAAGCTATGTGTATGGTTTTGTTTTGGTGGTGGTTGCTCTTTTTCGTTTTTCCCCCCCAGGGCCTTGGCTGTTAGAATTCATCTTTATGCTCTTGGAGTACAGGCTATTGATTTGCTGGGCCTGCTATTAAGTCAGAGAAAGGCAGCCAATCAGACCAGGACTCTGCCCTGTCTCCCTGCTGCAAACAGCTCAAGTACTAGTGAACAGGAAGGAGAGGGCTCAGGCTGAGCTCTCTCAGCTGCAGTCCAGGAGTGCTCCTTCCACGGTAAAGAAGGGAGCAGCTCCAGGACTCAGCTGAGTCTCAGCTCAGCCACCTCCTGAGGTCTGTTCCTTGGCTCCCATGAACAAACTTAGCCAAGGCTCGCTTCCACCCAGCTCTGGATAACTGGCTTCCAAAACCAAGATGGGAATCAAACTATGGGACTTGGGGAAAGGGTCAGAAATGGTGGAATCACATGACCTCGACCACTGTACATGATGTGATGTGTATAGAAAATCTACCGCCCCACCACCTTCAGGAATGCCCACTAGAAAAAGGGAGCCTCCTTTGAATCTAGGGAAATTATCTAAGCTTGTAAATCAGCTTTAAAACAACTTCTACCCAAAGCAGCTGCTCTGAATTTAGACTAGGGTTACCATCTGATAAGAACTTACCATCTGATAAGACTCTTCCTAAAGTGTTTATTTGTGTAGCATGCAAAGAATAGGAGGTAATTTGTCAACTTTTCCCTTAGAATACTTGTAGCATGATAATTTGTCTCTCTTTAATCAGTTTGGGCAATTATTAGATATGAAGAAAGAGAAATTCTACTCTAACTCAGAATTTAAAGTCAAATATTCAGTATATTTCTGAATGGTCCACTTAAAATGATAGACATGTAACATCTGACCTACTGCTCCGAGTGCTTCTCTTCATGTTTATTTGGATTTTTGAAATTGTAACAGGATTTTTTCCATGATTTTCCACCCTGGAGTTCTGTCAATTTCCAAGGTTTCCTGTGAGACCCATCAGTGTTCTGATCTTCTCCAGGCTTTGGGTTATGAAGTATAATCAATTGAGAGCTACAGAACCTTTCCTGAAAGAAAGACCTAGCAAAATGTTGGATATGGGAATGGCATCCTGAAATGCTATGCATGATTTTCCACACAGATTCACAGTTGATAGCATGTTAGTAAATGTTGGCAAAAATGTTGCTGTAAGGCCTTAACACAGGAGAACATGAGCAGATTTTTTTTTTACCCAAGAAGTGCATAAAATCTCATCCATGCACTATCCGCTCATTGTCAGTGGCTACTGATTTCCCACTCATTCGGTGGATGATTGCCTTGGGAAAATGAGATAAATGAGGGGAGAAATGGTTGAATTAGAACATGAATTCAACACACAACAGTTGTTGGCTCTACTCACAAGGCCAGTCTGGATCCTTACGTCACCTTTGGCAAACCGTCATCTCTTTCTTCAATGCAGTGCCTTGCAGCTTTCTGGCTTACAGATGTAAGACTAGAGGCAACAATGGAGCCAACAATTTGTATCAGCAGGATCGCTCACACATGCCTCCACTGGCGGTGGGTTTTAATGTGGAAAACGAAGGTTTCTGTGTCCAAGACTTATAGCCATCAGGCAAAACAGACTTGGAGTCCTCTGGAGGAGGAAGAGAGGAGAGGAGGACTGAGCCCTGGGCTGAGGATGGCCTTGTGGTTGAAGGAGTAGAGCTAAGTGCTGAGAAAGCGGCTCACTTATTAAAAACAGGGAGAAGAGGTCACCATAAAAGACACTGAGGAAGCCACGTACCTGCTGGTGTCCTCACTGGAAAGCATGACAGAGATGGAT